GGCCCGGGCGGGGTCCCCGGGGGTGAAGGCACTGGCCGTGCCGTGGCCGGGTTGTTACCGATGGTTGCCTGCGAGTGATTGGAGTTTTCAGTCATGATCTTCAAGTTCGACTTGCCCACGATACTGTTCTGCAGCGCTCCCTGTGCCTCGAAAGAAGCGAACTTCCCGAACTCGGGCAGGCGCCAGATCGTCTCCTGCTTCTGCAGGTCCACGTGGAAGATCTCGTCCCCATCGAAATCAAACATGAACTGGCCGCCCTCCTGCTGCAATGGCTCAACCCGCTGCTGGAACTCAGCTTGGTGGATCGTGTGCCCCACTGCCAGGAGATGGGCATTAGGAACAGCAACTCCCACCGGCGTGGGGCTGCCCCACCATGTTCTCATCGCCCTCCAGGGCTCCCACCAGGGACACCGTAAGGGCTCAGGGAGGCATCAATGGGGACAAGAGCCCGCCCTGCGCCTCTCCCCACCACCGCAGGCTCATGGGTGCGGGAGACACGGAGCCCCTGCGGAAGGGAGCCCCTGGCCCCCCATCTTTGCCTCATCTCCAGCAGTGTCCTCTCCGGGGCGGTTTGTCATCCTGAGGCTGGGGCCAGTGACGGTCTAGCCAGGCTGTGGGACACTGGCCTGCTCCCAGACATGCTGTGGGGTGGGGTGGAAGGTCCCAGGGCCCTGGGTCACCAGCGCTCCTGCCCCATACCTCAACATCCCCTTCAGCCAGGCCATCGGAGCTCTTGCAAAGTGACGCTCCTGATCACTGGGTGCTGCAGGGATGTCACCCACAGAGCCAGGGCACTGGGTGGGTGGCAGGGGGGCAGGGACAGCTGGAGGGGGGGGTCCCCCCTTCCTACAGCCTGCTCTCCTGGAGTGTGCCTGGGGCCCCTCCCCACACAGGGGTTACCCGCAGCCAGGAAGGGACGGAGCTCCCCATGCACTGGGCAGTGCCTGATCCTGCCCTGGTGCCGGACCCCGTGGGTCCAGGGCCCCCCACGCCCCACCTCTGCCCCCACAGCCACCTGCCCACGGCCCTGGCGCCCTCACGCACCTTTCACGGCCCCCGCGCCCCGCAGGGTCAGCGCAGCCAGCAGCGCCAGCGGGATGCCCCGTCCTCCGGCCATCGCCTCTCCTGGCACTGGGCAGCGAGAGCGGGATCAGGCGAGGGGCAGGCGTTGCTCTTGGGCTGGGGAGCTGTGTGCTGGGGGCCCCGGGCTCGGGGAACAGGGCCCCCCCAGACGCTCAGCCCATCAG